CATTGGACATCAAATATGAAGAGAAACAAGATCTCACTTTGTGTTTTTACTAAAACGTACCTAACTTGAATTCTAAGAAACGTGGATGGTGTGTTTAAACAGGTGAGATGACATGAAGACTGAGAATGAAAAAGGTTGAAAACATGACCCGGACGAAGTGGCAAAAAGTTGTGGCATTCACATCATGCCAGTATGCCATTGGCCGCTCCTTCCACGCAGAGTCCAGAGAAGGGTGTGATTCATTTCCTCGAACTCATTGTAAAGCTAAAACTCGAAAACTATGGGCCACTGTTCAAAAAGCTTTTAGTGGTCCTCAGGTCGGCCGGGCATTTCATTGATTATTTTTACTGTTAAATCTACTTAGCATTTTGAGGTCACAGCTTAATCACATGGACGTAATAAATAAATAAAATCATTTTGATGAAAATCTAAAATTACTAAAAATAAATAAATTTAAGCCTTGTTTGGTATTCTACTAAAAAAACTTAAAAACTATGATTCTTTTTTCTAAAAAAATGAGTTTTCAAATAGTAATTTTAAGATCTAAAAACTTGTTTGGTATTTGAACTCCAAACTATTTTTAAGATCTGAAAAAAGACAAAAGAGAGAGAGAGAGAGAGAGAGAGAAACCTCTAAAACCACATCTTCTTTTTTTTTTTTTTTTTTCAAAAATGGAGTGTTTTTTGGTTTTTTTTTTGTTTGAGTTTTTAAAAATGGGCCTATCAAACAGTTTTTTTAAGCTTTGGACTTAAAATTTGTTTTTGAGTTTATAAAATTGGATTCAAGTAGGATACCAAATAGACCCTTACTAATTAAACAACAGTTAATCAGAACCGACACTTCAATCTGAAGGATGGATGGATGATATTTTTCACGTGGGTAAATTGATCAGAAAATGACTGCCACTTACTTTACTAATTTAGCTTTTGAATATAAATTCCACAGCATTATTGCTTTGTATGGTCCATATGCACCTAGATCGATAAAAATTGACCCAAAATAAGTCATTAAAAACCACACAAAAAAAAAACCGAAAGAAAAAAAAAAACCGTGATTGGATAGAATAACTGGGTCGTTCTCTTAGATTCTGTTCAGACTAGGACCACGCACTAAGGATATCGGAAGTGAATAATTGCATGCTTTATTTATTTCCTAAAAACAAAAACAGAAGCTTTGACTCAACAGTGATGACAACCAAAGCACTTCGATACTTTGATTTGATCAGATTGCCTATAAATATGCCTTTTTATGTCATAAATTCTTATCATCAGCCACTTGAATCTAGCTACATAACATCATGAATATTCTCTTGCTTCTCTTTGCATTTCTCCCGATTATTGTTGTTCCTGCTCATGCAAGAATCTTAGCAGGTAATGAATCTCTTTACAGCCAGAAAATGTTCGATTATATTTTGCTTATGGTTTTTTTTTTCTTTCTACCCGCCATAATCTGAATTACTCTACATTAATATAATTTATGTGGAGTAAATTTGAATTTGAGTGCAAGGACGGCCTCACTGCCCAGACCAACTGCGCTAACCAACGTCGGATGATTATTTTGTTTTATTCTCTTATCTTTTTATTCCTGCTTCTCTTTGAACTTCTTCAAATTATCGTTCATGAATATTATTTTTTATTTTATTTTTTAGCAACTTTACCAAAATTCTGTTACTGTGAGCAAGTTTCTTTGGTTATGTGCAAAGTTGATAATATGCATGATTAGTTTGATTTGTTATTGTCTTATTTTCCAAACTTGTACATTATTTATACATCTCCAAACTAGTACATATATCAGCTGATCCACTCATTTTCTTGTTCCACAGAGAGTGCAGGAGGCAAGTTGGCCTTGATTATAACCATTTATGGAAGGAAAACTCCGAGCCCACCACCATCCCCATCATCATCTCCTCCAACCCATCAGTCTACAATTGGTGCCACAGCTTTTCCACCACCAGCTCCACCACGTACAAAACCAATAGGTCAAGGAACAAGCTACGAAAGAACTCGATCCCCACCGCCTTCGCCGAGGCCAGCACCGTCACATGGACAGCTAGGAAGTAGTACTTCTCCATGCAAAAGAATCATATCTACGGTAACTGAGCATTGTGTAAGGAAGCCAAGGTCACCTCCGCCGTCACTGAAAGGAAGTGATTATGAAAACACTCGATCCCCGCCACCTCCGCCAAAGGCAGCGCCGTCACATGGACAGCTAGGAAGTACTTTTCCATGGAATAGAATCATATCTATAGCAACTGATTATGGATGGATCAAATTACCAAGATCATCATCCTCCATCGTCCAAGACAAATGATTAGTGTGTTACAAGTACAACTAGCTAGTATCTCATAAGTAATTACCTTTAGGAGTTAAAATAAGGTTTATGGACACAGCTACCTTATTTGGTCTTTGGATTTGACGGTCCGAATGTTTGTCCTTGCGAATAAAATAAACGTTGTGTGGTTAATAGTTTTCCTAATTGTACTTAGGAAGAGTAGCTTGCGTACTGTAAATACATTTGCTTTCGTGCTTCAACGACTATGCATTGGTAATTGATGGATTTATATTATAAGGTCCACTCCAATCAATACGAAGAAAAGCTGATATGTTAATTATCACCATAGTCTAAAATATCAATAATATCAAGGATATTATCCTTTTTTCAGGTCAATGATATTTTGGAATGTATCCATACACATATCGTATAAATATCGATAATATCGGAAAATATCGATATTGACACTTTCTCACATCAGCAATATTTGACCAAAATATTGTTATAATATTAATAATATTGATATGAAGACAACGAAAAATTTGAAGAGTTATTTATACTAACACCCCTTGAGGTTTCTTGTGTTTTCACAAAACCCCTTCAGGTCTCAAAAATTACACGAACACCCCCTGAGGTTTCAGTTTGTTTTCACAAGACCCCTTTTCGTTGATTGTTTGTTTTCAATGTATGTTTTGTAATTCGTAATATTTACGGCCACAATAATTAACTGAGCATATATGTGGACATTACTATGAACTCAACTGCATTATCTTTTCATTAAGTTATATTTTCTGGTACCTAGAAAAGAGTAGGAAACACTTGAATTCTTTATTACCAGACATATCAGACCGAAAATCATGACAGCTCTACACATACAATTTCCACATACGTTACCATAAGAAAAGTACCCTTCATGTTGAGTTGGACATCTTGGCAAACAACTTGTTGGAAACATAGAAGAAAGAGAGGAATGCATGATAATATGCAATATGATTCTGCAAAAAGCATTTTTTATCCACACAAGATAACAGAAATCTCTACGCCCTACATAAACGATTAGTAGAATTGATTACGGTCAAGTCTGACTCTTAGGTTTACTTTTTCCACATAACATAAATCCTAGCCAACAATTGATTCCCTTCATGGCCTATCGACAGGGCCTTGTAATTTGGACAGTTGGAAGAGCTTATGCATCTTCATCTTCAGCTGTACCTTTTGATATTTCTTGGAATCATTTATACGCTCTGCCCCTCCTACCTACCTAACTAGGAAGCTATAGTCTCAGAAAAGTAAAGAACATATAAAATGAAAAATGAGAAAATTATCCCCCTCCTACCCACTGAATTTTTTGTTTTATTTTTCGAAGTCAACATGCAACGAAGGATGCCAAGGTTGACCCAAAACAAGTTGATTAAAAATGAAAATAAAAAGTAGAACCGTGACTGTAGATTGGGACCGAGTCTTGGTCTTCGGATAGTTCTGCGCGTACTAGAACGACCACGAGGAGTCAAGCGTACAACTTATGCCTTATTACTATTTATACAAGAACCAAAGGGGAAGCTTGACGGTCCGATGGCTACCGTTTACAAAAGAAAAAGCACCAAATTGATATCATATATATATATATCGAGCAATCCTTTGGTAGCAGTCTGGTTCTCACGCCACGTGAATAGGCTCACCTGGTTATTGGTTCTTCTGACATTGTAGACAATTTTGTTGATTTTATTTATGGTCTTGTCGCTCAAGTCCTTACAGATAAATCTGTCAATTGTGATGGCTTTATTAAAACCTTTACACAACTTTGGAAAGTCTCTGGAGATGCCTCTATCAAAGAAATTGGTTCCAACAGATATTGGGTACATTTTGTTTGTGATCGTGACAAGAAGCGGGTTCTTGATATGAAGCCCTGGGCCTTTTGGCGTTCCTTGATATTGCTGGCTGACATCTTGGATAATAGGAATCTGCACTCGACGCCATTATCCCTTGGTACCTGTGTCCCTGGTTTCTGCATGACTGTCGCTGTTGCTAAAGCTATAAGGCTATTCTTGGAGAAGTTCTTTGGGTGGAAAATTGTGAAGGTACTGACTGTGTGGGGCGTTTTATCCATATTTGTGTGAGGTTTTATGTCAAGAAACCTCTTATCCGTCATGCACTTGTTACTTTACTAGAAGTGGGTGAGAATGGTGGACTTTAAGTAAGAATATCTTCCCAAATATTGCTTTGGGTGCGACAAAATTGGTCATCTATCTCAGGTGTGTATTGATAAATATAAGCTCTCGCAAGGTTCTTTCAAGTCCAGTTTTCCTCTGCTTTAGTCTGGAAGGTGATACCAACTTGTGGGGCAACTCTATAGGCTCTTCGGCAAGCCAAATTTTGGCTCCCTTACCCCCATATAAGAGCCCCATTCATTCTCCTTGGCAGGCTGGTCTTTAGACCAATGATGGTTTGGGTGATAATAGTAGTTCTAACACTCAGTCTTGGCGGTCACCCTCTCATGAAGGGACTAAGGTAGATGATTCCTCCATAGTCACTACTACAAAAAGTGAAAAAGACGACCATAAAAAGACGACAAATGAAGTAAAGATGACGGTTTTTTTAAAAAAAAAGAGTCGTCTATTATATCTAAAGATGACGGTTTTTTTTTAAAACAGGATCATCTATTATGAAGTAAAGATGACGGTTGTTTTAAAAAAAAGGTCGTCTATTATATCTAAAGATGACAGTTTGTTTTAAAACATGGTCGTTTATTATGAAGTAAAGATGACGGTTTTTTTTAAAAAAGAGTCGTCTATTATATGTAAAGATGACGGTTTTTTTTTAAAAAGGGTCGTCTATTATGAAGTAAAGATGACGGTTTTTTTAAAAAAAAAGAGTCGTCTATTATATCTAAAGATGACGGTTTTTTTTTAAAACAGGATCATCTATTATGAAGTAAAGATGACGGTTGTTTTAAAAAAAAGGTCGTCTATTATATCTAAAGATGACAGTTTGTTTTAAAACATGGTCGTTTATTATGAAGTAAAGATGACGGTTTTTTTTAAAAAAGGGTCGTCTATTATATGTAAAGATGACGGTTTTTTTTTAAAAAGGGTCGTCTATTATGAAGTAAAGATGACGGTTTTTTTTTTTTAAAAGGGTCGTCTATTATATGTAAAGATGACGGTTTTTTTTTTAAAAAAGCGTCGTCTTTTAAAACACGCTAAAAAAAGGC